CTTGAGCTTGTAAATTAAAGTTCACCATCTCTGTGGGTTTCTCCAGACCGAAATACCCTTACCCACTCCCCTTACAGGGAATGTGCAAGGAGCAGCTCCATCCGCTCCAGTACGGACAGCAGCCAGGCCAGAGAAATCAGTCCATGTAAAGTAATTCAAATAAAATGCTCAGAAAAGTGGGATTTCAGGTCAATTTGCTTTTTCTAGACCTTTCACAAGCCAGTGGTGCAGGTCTGACCAGCCTGGGGGGTTGCAACTTCTGTAGTGTCCACCTTTAATACTACCAATATGCCATGGATGCAAAGCCACTGATCACTAAAGGGCATTTACCTGTCCCCAGGAGTGTCTGGCTGAGACTGAACACCCGCGGGGGGGGGGGGGGGGGGGGGGGCGCGGGCCCCCCCCCCCACCGCAGCCTTGGCGCTGGCGGGGGGGGGGGGGGGGGGGGTGAAGGCTCCAGTGCAGGGAGCAGGACAAAGGTCACCGTGTGAGTTCTCCACGGGATGGAGGGAACAGGGGTCTTTACACGCGATTCCTGTTTCGGAACAGACTCTCCTGGAATCATCAAGCATGCCACCAGGAGATCTGAACAGCTTCACACATAGCTAGTTACATCTGAATCTAGCAAGCAAACTGAGCAATTGGAAAGACACTGACTCCTGCCCCAGGTGTCTCTTCATCATGGCCAGCCCCCTGCCCCAGGCCTTTCTGCTCTCCTCCTTCCAGCTGCCCACCAGCTACTGCCCCAGGCAAGGTGGAGCTTGGAGACCTCCCACCCTAACTGCTCACCTGCAGCTTCCTGTCTCTCCACCCAGATTGGAGGTGTCGTGGACACCACCAGGCTTACCTGTTAGTCTGCCCCACCACAGAACCACGCGTCAGTCTCCTTTCATGACTGATCCAGTAGAATCTGTGCTGCAGAAATGCGAGTACTGGAGCCTGATTTCTCACAGCTGGGAAGGAGTGCAGGCAGGAGTTTCCTGTAGGAAAAGGACGATACCTAAAGAAAAGGAATGGAGATGCATGGAGAGGCTTGTGGAGTGCTTCTGAGGTTCTGGAGTGTTTATGAGGAACGCGTGGTCTCCGATCCACTACAGTTTCTCTCAATGGCCTCCCCACCTGGTGGGGGAGGGGAAACGCCTCCTCAGTTTCCCCCGAGAACACTGCACCAGACGGGTGGGCCTTGGGAGGCTGACCTTCTCCAGAGGCCCCACCTGGCTGTGACAGGCCAGGTGACCCTCTTTGACAGGCCAGTCAGCCCCACTCAGGGCCAGTGCCTGATCACTCACAGACCCCCTCAGTGGCCCTTACCTCCTCCTCCCCCTCCCCACCCCCCAGGCAGAGACCCAAAGCTGCAGGTACTGGTCAGGGTAAGGGGCACCCTTGCAAACTCCAAGTCCACCAAAATGGTTAAAAACGGAGGAAAATGGCTCAGTCAAGACATGGTTAAGGACTGGTTCTCCAAGTCAGGACGGAGGAGAGGAGGCTCTGTCCCTGTCGTTGGTCATCTCCTAAAGATACCCCTGAGTCTGGGCAGGCTTCTCGGGCCCCCTCAGGCACCCCTGAGTCTGGGCAGGCTTCTCGGGCCCCACTGCCTGAGAGCCGGAAGGAAAAGTCAGCCCAGACACAAGCCTGGGCAGCCTCAGCCAAGGCCCACGTAAGCCCCCTGCCCAGCCCCTCCTCCGGGCTCAAAGGCAAGCCTGAGTGGAAAAGCAAACAGGCCAGGCCGGGTCGCCCTTTGGACCTTTTGCAACTCTCTGCGCCCAGGAAGCCAGGGCCCCATAAATAGAGCGCCTGCGCCGGCCGCGCATTCTCACCTGGGCCCTGCGAGTGTGCCTGTGCCCCAGTGACCAACACAGAGGAGCCCGCCCAGCAGGCAGCGGGCTCGAGGCCCAGGCCAGGCCGCAGCGAGCGAGCCGCCCACCGCCCGTCCGCCATGG